CCCTAAACCCTAAACCCTCGGAAGCGTTTTCGTCGTTTTGTCAGTAAGTCCATAGTTTCTTTCCAGCGCGGCTGCGATCGGTCGAAAGACAGAGCGTCTACATGGCAAGTATTTCGCAGCTTCGCCCTTGAGACAGCTAGCAGCTGGTAGCTAGTATGTGTGACGAGCTCTTGTGACAGTGAGTGGGCATGAATAATCGCTGTATCAGTCTGGTCTGCTGGGTTTGGCAAGTTGTCTTCTTGTTGTAGAATCGTCCTGAGGTTGTAGCATAGACAGATGTGGATTGGCCTTGTGAGCTTGTGCTTTGAGAGCTCAACATCAAGCGAACATATCCGGAATCATGTTGAAGCAAACCTGTCTTGTGCACAGGTGGACATGGATGGCGGCTCCAACCCTGGCACGGTGACTGATTTCCGGCCTGCGATCTCCTTTGGCCGTGGACAGCGAGCGTACTCTTGGTTGCAGCTGTTGCATTTTATGCAGTTGACGCCCGGTCGGTTTAGTTTGTCGTCACCTGTCCGATCAGTCGCAGTTTTTTCAGCCTTTCAGCCGCTGCCGGGCCAGCTGATTGATTGATTCGTTGAAGGTTGTTAGTATTGTTAGACATGTCGGGCTGTAGTAGGAAGATGCCGGGGTCCGGGGTTATAGGGTTGCAAAAACCGGCATTTTAGGAGTCTAAAGCATAGTTTTTCTGGTTGTGGTGCCGTGGAGACTGGAGATCCCATCCCGTCCAAACTCCAAAGTGTACAAGTCTCGCCTCGTAGCATCTACCAAAACATACGACCGTAACAAAGCTTTACCCCAAACTCCCCAACCCCGGCCCCAAACCGTACCCCAGACTCAGACCCAGACCCAAACCCCGAAACAAGAATTCAACACGGTGGCCGGATGATACAGATGATGGCGATGGTGGCGATGACGATCACACTACCTTTTATCGTGAAACGGCTCCGGGTTTAGGATAGGTTCCCCCATCGATACCGTAGTAAGGACATTAAGGAACCCTATTCCACGCTAAATAACTGAACCCACGTAACACTAATATTCCTCTCCATGGATCCCATAGGTCTTGAATCCGTTGCGGTTAGGGTTGAGAGTTCATACTAGTCGCATGGGTCCTTCATATGCTCACCCCATGACGTCAAATCTAGCTCACTCGATCGTGTGTGTGCGTGCGCGCGCGTGCGCCCCGCTGTTACAAATGCTTGTGCCACACGTGGGGCGTGGGGTACATCAGCTTGTTTGAGTTCTACATAAGTAGGAAACCCTGTAGGTTAGGAGATAGGTTAGTAGCTGAAGGAGGTTGCGGTTTCCTTCGTTCTTCAGGGCTGTGGGCTGGGAGGCTTGAGTTCAGGACGGGTTGTGGTGCTTACACCGCTTCCCCTAGTGTTTGTCCAGGTGGAGGTGAAGGCTATGCAGGTTGGGTGAGGTGGATTTGGGAGGCCCTATGCCTATACCCTAAACCGAAACCATAAACGCGGCTCAGGGTGTTGGTAACGGGTTTGGGGCAGTTGAAGGTTCACTGTAGGAGTTGTGTAGCTGGCTATGCCAACAAACCAAGCTGTCTTCGAAGGACAGTTCATATGAGAAGCGCCGACCACTTCCGCTTGACCATGGAAACAGCTGTCGGACTGGCCATGGGTATGGACAGCTTAGAAGCTCTTTCTCTTCAGCAGTCCAATGACAGCACATTTGCATGGTGTCCTTCGAGGGCCACCCTCAACCGTTCTAGATTCAGATTGGATTTCCTCCACATGTTATTGCGCCGTGGCTGTGCTGCAACCCTGAAAGGCCGCATGGAGAGTTTGCCAGGATTGTAAATCGTGACAAGCTCATGTTACCCTAGGTCGCACGTGGGGCACCCGTGGTTTCAGATCGCGCTGGATAGCGCTGTGCCACATGTCTTGAACTGTGTTGGCAACCTGTGTAAGACCAAGCGGCTAAGTCATATGTCATTGTCGCTGAGGCTATGACGCAAGCCCTCAGAAAAAGGAGCTGTTCGTCACAGAAGAACACTCTGTTAGTGCTGATGCCGCCATGAACATCCTTTTGGAAGAACTGCGAGACGAAAATCGTAGTGGACTTGCGGAGCAAGAGCATGAAGACTTGGTTCCGGCCGTTGTAGCCGCGTTTGAAAGAAGGACAAGACAGTTGGCTGCAGAAAGACACGTTCTACCTTTGGCATGCTTGGGCAGCGGATGCTTGTGTGCATTCACAGTTGTGCTGATATGGTTTGTCAGGTCTTGGAGCCAGCACGTTTTCATGAGGATTAATTGCGGCTTGATGCTGCAAGTTTCTATCGCTCTTGAGGTTGCACTGCCTTCTGCTACAAACTTGATGCGCTCCTCCATACAATCCAGCTGGAGGTCGGCGCAGAAAATGTGGCACAATACAGTGACCGGGTGATCAGCTGCACATCAGACCAAGGTCGCTTGTGAAAACCAGGGGTGTGGGCATAGGTCACCTAGGCACCTCGGTCTGTCTCTACGGGCTTCACCAGGTTTCTCATCTGTGTGTGTCCAGAGGCACGGAGCGGCTCTTGGGAACGGCGCCTGCGATGGATGTGAATCTTCGACTGCAGGATGAGGCGCTCAACTTCGACACAGAGCACATACCTGTTCAGGACGCCCGCGGCCTGCAACCACTAGTCCAACCAGCCCTCACTGGCACTGCTTTTGACATCGATGACGAACCGTCATTGCTTGACAAGCCATCGGATGCTTTGGCCTCCGAGGGGATTTCCGGGGAGGTGGAGGACTTGAGGATGGAGCTTGAGCTAGCTGTGGAGCCACCGCCTCCCCCCCCTGTGGACTACTTTCAGAGACAGTTCAAGAATGCAATCTTGGTTTCCGGTCTCAAACACATTACAGACAACTGCTTGCAAGATACGTTAAACAACATGTCATTGTTGCTCGACGACAACGAACATGAAGTTTTTTTTTTTAGCTCGTGCTGTAGTAACTTGTGTCCCCAAGCCCCAAGCTCACAGCACCGCTGTTCCCAGCATCTTCAGTCCCAGCAAACCAAGATGGCCAGACATCAAGAAGAAAATGAAGCTCCTTGAAAGGCTGCTGCATGTGACTGCATACAGAGAGAGGTTTTCCGCTCTGTGTGTCGAGCCTGTGAACAAAGCCGATGCAGATGATTTCATAAACTTCGGCTCCAGCCTCAAGTCTCTGCGATGGGAATGCATTGTTGACTTTGCTTCAGCAGCGCCTTGGTAGTTGGTGTCCACCCCCACCCGCTGCTGATGTTTAAATGGGGTTGGACTTGGGTTCTGGAGTTGGGTCGGCTTTCTCGGCAGTTGTACGGTTGCGCTGTCTCAGGTCCTACAGTTGGAAACAAAGATCCGCAAATACTGGAACTTGAAGACATTTTTGCATGGTGATGCCACTCATAAGAAGTGGAAGCAGCAATCCCCGTTCGACGACACCGACGAGGATGGTGTTGGTGGCAAGACTGTTTGGTTGGATACGGACGCGGCCATTGCCGACCCAATGACTTGGGTCGGCATCAATGTTGTTTATGATGTAGGTCGGGAGTGTGAACACATTGGTCGGTGGTCCGAGCAGTGTGGATGTCCAGAGCACCAGCCAACTTCGGATTTTGTGGACTCAGTGCCCAGCGCTGGCCCGAAGGTCAAGACCGGGACCAGGAGGAAAGTTCGTAGACAGAACACAGCCAGAGGATTCAATCCGGACCTCTGCCCCTTCAGAGGGTGCAGGGCCCCGGAATTAGCCGCGGGTGAAGGATTGAGAGGCCAACTCGGCCTTTTGATGAGCAATCGTTCACAAATCCTCAAGTATATCAGCCAGCTCCCACTTCAGCCTTCTGCCCAAACTGCTCTGCTCAATGATTGGCATGTAGGCAGAAGTCGGCTTTGGAGTTCCTCGGAAACAAGTGTACTTGCAGGAGGTTGTGCTGTTAAGTAGTAGTAGTAGTAGTAGTAGTAGTAGTAGTAGCAGGAGTAGTAGTAGTAGTAGTAGTAGTAGTAGTAGTAGTAGTAGTACTAGTAGTAGTAGTAGTAGTAGTAGGCGCCCCCCCTACCGCCCCCCCTACCAACTACACTTGCTTAAAACCATCTTAAGAGCACATCCGTTTTTCTCGGTATTTACAGCACGTTCGTCATGTACGATCATCATAAGAAGCCTCAAAATGGACTTGCCGAGTTTGCAAACTCGGCCTCTTAATTTTGGACTTGGTTCTGGGGGCGGTGGGGGGGGGGGGGTGGGGGGATGATGACGACAGTGTTACGCAAACACAACCAACAATATCACCACAAGAGCCGTTTTACTCGGTATTTACAGCACT